TGTGAAATTTCCATGTATTGCTATATTTGTTGACAAACTGATGCTAGAAGTAAAGAGAAAAAAGAGAATGTCATGATCATGGGCGATGTAAATTCAAAGGCACCAGAGTGGGGCTCACCAATATGGGACAAAATGGAAGAATATTGGACAGAGTGTCTAAAAGAATTAAATTTAGTTGTAATAAATACAGGAAATGCTCCAACGTTCGTACGAAACCAAAGTACTTCATATGTAGACGTCACATGTAGTTCATAAAGTAAGAACGATAACTGATTGGAAAGTCCTAGATGAAGAAGTAATGACATACCATCAGCCTATATACTTTGAAGTAAACGTCAAGTGTAAGAAACCACAATCAATAGAGAATACAAAGCCGGTATTCTACCCAGAAATATTTAGAATAAATCTCAGGGAAAAGATAGGGAAACTAAATGAAAACCGTGTTGTCTATTATTCGCTCAGTGCGAAGTCATGGTAAGGGAAGCAAAAGTGATACTAGCGCTAGATGAGGATAATTCGTGCATTTTAGGGCGATATTTTTTAATTTTTGGCATTTCAAATACACGTATACCGTATACATTTTACTTTTTTTTTAAAAAGTAGGTAAAAACAATATAATAAGCAACCGAAGTTGCTGTGTTAAAAATTGTAAAAATACTAACAAAAAAAAAAACAGTGAAAATTATAAAAATTTTCAATAGCAAAGTAGAAATTAAATCAAAGAAGTAAATGGAAAGGTGTACAATAAGAAGAAAAATTACCTTTATTTTTTAATCATTCACTCTATATTTTCTTTCAAACAAAAATGAAAATATAAATAACAATCCTTCTGTTTATACATTTTAACTTCACGCTATTATTTAATGGTATTTTTTATTTTGACAGAATAGGTTAATTGTTCAAAGACAACTTATTAGACTTAGGCCACTTCTCATACATTTTCCCGTAAATACTGTTGCCTGTCTATATTTTATTATTGATTTTTATTGATTATACTTTTAATTTAAGCGATAAAAATATATAATAATAATAACAAATTATTGTCTTATTTGTTTTACAAATCCATTTACTTTTATTACAACTAACATATATACTTTTTAATTACGAATTCTATTAAAAATTGTATTTATCAATACACACACAAATAGTCCATTAGTACCTGATTGAATAGGCAATGCTGTCACGCACGGAGCGAATATCAAGTGTCACAAAATCAAGTAGTAGTAATATACAAACTGGAGAGAGTAGATGAGTTCCCTACTGGTGGAATCAGGAAATATCAATGAAAAAAGAAATTACTGCAAAAAGACGAAAAGCAAAATGACCCGAAAAAGAGAAAACCACTATGTTATCCAGATTGAGTGGGATAATCTAGAAATTAATTATAGAAATCTAAAAAAAAAATCTCAAAAGACTAATTAATAAATCGAAAATGAATCATTGGAAAGATTTGGACTCCGAACTAAATGAAGACATCTGGGGGCTTGGTTATAAAATAGCGACAAAATGTAATAAGCAAAATAACTTGCCGTTCAATATGACTGCCAAAAACAAAAGAAATATTGCCTAAACACTATTTCCTAAAACTACCAATTTCCGAGAAAGAAGACCTGTTGTAATTCAAAACATAGAACCTTTCACAAAGGAAGAACTCGCAAAAGCTGAAAATAAAATCAAGACAGGGAAAGCTCCGTGACCTGACGGAATTTCTCCAAAGGTTATTCAAATCTCTATTGTAGAATTGTCCGAGATTATATTAAAAATTCTAAATGATCTCCTAAGATCTCAAGAATTTCCAGACATGTGGAAAATAGCTCGCCTCGTCATCATCATCATCATCTGAAAGAATGGTAAACCTCAAGAAGATCCATCGTCCTTTAGACCTTTGTGTCTATTGAATGTATGTGCACGACCTACGAAACTCTCATTAAAATAAGAATGGAAACGGAAATGGAGGAGAAAAATTGTTTATCTGATTTTCAGTTTGGTTAACTATTTATTTGACTTTCAGTTTGGTTTCCTCAACGGACGATGAACAATCGACGCAGTTGGGTGGTGAAAAACTGGGATCTAATTATTACGGCAATCAATGGAAAGAAAAGGTTTTTTCTAGATATCTGAATAATATTATAGACAATTACCTTAAAAACAGGCAAATTATGGACACACAGAAGGACAAAATGGAAGACAGTCAAGGAGTACCGCATGGGTCAGTTGTCGGTGTCACCCTTTGGAATATTATATACGTCATATTACATCTGGACGTTGGAAAGGAGGTTAGAACCATCGCATACCTTTAAACACCGTCAGGTACCTGGGAGTTATGCTAGATGGCAAAAGAAACTTTAGAAAACATATCAAATAAATAACAAGAAAAGCAGAGGAGAAGACAGCGATCTAACGAGCATATTGCCTAACGTGGGAGGTCCAAACAACTACAAAAGATATATATATGCTGTATGGAGTTACACATTCAATTCTTTTATATGGTACCCCAGTTTAGTGTGAAGCCCTTACAATAAAAAAATACAAGAAGATGATGGAAAAAACTCAAAGATACTACTGCTAGTGGCAAGTGCATATAGAACTGTTTAAATCCGTAATAACGAGAGCCGTACCAATAGATATCATGCCAAAAGACCGTAAATACTTATACATTACCAGAAATGAGCATCTTGAAGAAGTCAAAAAGGTAGCTCGAAGGAGATCAATGTATCTTTGGCAGGAAACGTGGTCGGAAAATATTTAATATTATGTGGATTATGCTACTACACAATTTTTTCTGGGCGGCTCTTTCAGATTTTTTGGTAAGCGAATGGATAAGACAGATAATGACAAGTGCATATACTAAGAGCGATGGATACTGCTGAATATATGTTTCGTTGTGACAGATGGACAAAAATTAGGAACAAAATAAAAACAGAAATTGGTGAAAACTTGAATGTGGATAATTTGGTAACAGTAATTCTGCGAGATAAAAACACATTAAATTACAGTACATAATTTCATTAGGTCGACTATGATAAATAAAGAAAAAAAAGGCTTCATGAGGCCAATGTACAAGTAGTATGTCCAAAGAGATAGGAGGAAGAGAAAAACCCAGTGGATCCGTCATTAGCTGACGGTTTCCGGGCACCACTAGAAGAGTATGGAGAGGGTGGAGTTTAGTGGGTATAACGGCCTTGTACCGTAAGCCAGGAGTCCCACACTACCAGGTAAGGCAGAACCATATGCCTGGTGTCCGTAATAGGATTTTCCTACACATCAAAAAACTACTATTAATACTACTGTGTTTGCATCACCGGTCCAACGGCCGCAATGGAGGTAATTTTAAACCTCACTCCTCTACATTTAATGACAGAGAACGTGACAAAATGGACAAGATATTGAATGATCAGAAACGGAGTAAACACACGAAAGTCTATTAGCTTCAGGACCGAAGATACTTGGGATATGCCCCTGGACGAAATGGACAAGAAGTGCAGATTTGTGAAGAATTTTAAAACCACAAATCCATCAGGCATTTAACTGAAAGAGATGCTATTTAGTGGTATATGTATGGTTTCAAAACTATATATGTAACTGGAATAAGAATTTATGGGCCTAGAACCAGCCACTCTAAAAGTTTAAGTAAATACTCTTCCAGGCGGAAATTCACGTCAATAAGAAGTGTTTCCAGCTCAGCTTCGAGAGAAACTCTAGTAGACAAGAGATTATTATCTTGCCCGAAAACCAAGCAGCCATCAAGCGCTGAGTTCTTACGTAATCAGCTTAAAAACGATCTGAAGATGTCTAGGAAAACAGAATGAGCTAGGCGAGAAAAATTCTGCTTCTTTGATTTTGGTAACGAGATTGCAGATAGTCTCGTAAGGAAAGTGGCTCAAACACCTTTTGTTGGACCTGAGCCGTTCTGCGGTATCAGCAGTAACACAGGTGGGATTAAAAAAGAACCGATAATTGAAACAATCACTTGGGGCCTAGAGAGCCTAAAATACTTCTGGGTGAATATAACTAGGAAAGATCGGAAGTCTATATCTGTCTGAGTAAAAACTGACTACGCATTGTAACAGGTAACCTTACCGGGCATTGCCGACTCAAATGACAGCTTAGTAAACTGAGAGTAGTAGAAGATAGTGAGTACAGATTCTGGAAAAAGGAGGAGGATGAAAGCTCCATTCACATTCTGGCTGAATGTGTAGCACTCCAAAATCCAAGGGCACTATACTTAGGAGCATACCAAATAGAAGATGGCCATCTATTTAACTTGAAACCACTCCAAATCCTACAGTTCCTTGAGAAGATAGGATTGGAAGGGTCGTTTTAGGCATACAGACTATTTCCTCAATGCATTAGCGATAGAAGGGGGTACAATAGATATTTTAGATAGCAATGCACAAATACCTCATACGCAACTTAATATAACATACCTACAACTAACGTAATTTTACCCTATCAAAAACAAGGCCTCACTTCCTGCAGCTATCTCGTAATACATTTAGTCCAGTTTCATTATTTCATTGACTTGTAACGTCTCTCAAAAGCGAACGTAGCGTTTGATTAGAAATTACAAGCGACAGCCTGCCGTTTCGACCTATAACTGTTATTCAATTTTAACATTTATCCTTTGGCCGAAGTATTTAAGCATTCCCCTGAGAGTCGGTTTTTGCACATCAAGTAAGATCAGTTGGTTAAAAGTAATATTATTAACTTCAGTAGTAACCTTAAAACAATTTCACTGACCTATTTGACAAAACTAATACTTAGCACTAAGGACGGCTTTTTTCATAAAATCTTTTGTTGCACCGGATAACGTGGGATACAGGTCTTGTTAAAGGCTTGTTAGGTATCAAAACATTACAATAAAATTTTAATATTTTAACCATTCAGAAAGAAACTAGAGAACTGAATGTTATATCAATTTGCATGAGTTACTGAAGAAAAAATATACTAATAAAATAAGTAGGTCGTATTCTCAAAAATTCAATAAACATTTATTCCAGGACCTTCATTAGGAACTATAGTTTCTATACTCATTACGGGAGCCATATGTTCATCTTGGTCCGGTTGGCCTCTAGCGTTCTATCTTTTCGGAGCTCTGGGATACGCTTGGATGCTAGCCTGGGTCCTGCTTGCTGCCAACACTCCTGCGAGTCATCCGAAAATTTCTAAAGAAGAACGAGAATATATTCAAAAGAGTTTAAGCGTTAATGAAAATGATGAGGTAAATTTAAATTTTTTTTTTCTATATTAACTATTATTACAAATTAAAAAATGTATAATTTAAGTTAACAATAATCAATCAAATAAACGGATTTAATTTCATATCCATAAACGTTACACAAAAAAAAATCACTAACTGTTTACTTACCACAAATAAAGATTTGTATACTATATGAAACAAGTAAAATACTTAATTATAGTAGGCAAAACGAGATTTCTGTTATTAGTCACCTATGGTTAGTAAATAGTTAAATTAGTTTTTAGGCGACCTATTTTTGGTGAACAACTATTTTCTTGCGGTTAGTGATTTTAGTTTCAATGGGTATTAACTATGCAATTTGTTTTTACTGTAGTAGAGTTATTGATTCATTTACAGTTATTAAAGGGTGTTTCTGCAATAGAAATAGCTCCAACTGCAACAAAGCTAGTCTTGTATATATTTTGTTAATGACGAAATATAAGTTTTTTTACAAAATAAAACAGTTTTTGTTGAAAAAATACAGAGTTAAGTTAAACCGGAATAAATTAATTGAAGCTTATTTGTATTGTTCTGCGAAGATTGTTCATTTGTTACTTCTCTTACTCGAACATTAAATGTTGATTTATGAATAAAAATGATATCCCTAAAGTGACTCTGGGAAACAATAGGTAATAAAGCAAAGTGTTCATATTAATAACTAACTAGATTTTAAAAAAGTTTCTAAAGTAGGCCATGACCGATTAAGACAGAGATACGAGTCAGGTAATTGATAACTACGTACAGCTCTAAATTAAATCCAAACAGACATTTAAAAAGAAGAATTAACATAAGTAAATTTTTCCAAGGCCTACTTTAGAAACATTTGTTGTGCATCACTCCAAATTTAATTACCAAAAAGCTTGTGACAAATAAATGTTTAAATAGCAAACACTAAGGAAAAGTTCTTCATATTTGAAGTTGGTGTATAGTATAAATTTAAAAATTACAAAACACTCATTATAATTTCTTGGTTTTTATTTAAGATTTCAGAGACTCCATGGAAAAGTATTTTCACTTCTGTACCGGTGTGGGCTTTCATTGTTGCCATGTTTGGACAAAATTGGGGTTATTCAACTTTACTCACGGAAATACCTAGCTACGTGAAGTCAATTATGAACGTAGATATAGCACATGTAAGTAAATTAATGTATGTACCTAGTCAGTAACGTGATTCGTTATCGAACTAGCCTGAAATTATGAGCCGAGCGGGCAAAGCGAGCAAAGCAAGGAGGTCAGTAAGAAGGGTTACGACGTGGCATTTTTGTTTCTTTAGGGGGAGAAAATCTTCATGAAGACGCTAAAGGTACCATTTCGGTAGGCGCGACAGACGACCGCCGACGCGACATACGACCGCCGACACGACCGAGAAGTGTAGCTTCACATCTAAAATACATACAATTATATGAAACACATTTCGCACGGCGCGACACGACCGAGAAGTGTCGTCCTGGAGACACTTCTCGGTGCAAAGCATTGCTGCGTATCGCACTCGAGGTCACTGTCCTCGGCATCGCTTTTTTTTGGGGGTGATTCGGTCGGAAATTTCTTTCGGTCTAGGCAGCGTTGTCAGATTTTAAAACAGTATGGGTAAAAAAAAAAACGTAAATCTGAACAGTAGATTTTAATACAGGGGGAAATAATTATAATTTGCAGTGTAGTAAATAAATAAACAAGTATATAAGAAACGAAAAATAAACTCTTTTCTACCCAAATTTGAAAGTAAACAAAGAATAAAAACAAATAAAAACATTTTTATTATATACTTAACGTACGGGAAAAAACCAATGAAAAATAATAAGTACCTACTCCTTTTAGATCAGTCTGAATCAGATAATTCAAAATCGTAGTGTGCATGTTCTTTTTATGATGCCCTATTAATTCTTTGTTTCATTTTAAATAAAAACAATGATTATCTTGATGTTTTTTTTTAATGGAGCCAACCTAGAGTAGTGGATGCTTATTACGGTGCTTTTACTGCAGAAAATTTACTAGAGAAAATATTCTTTAACCATTTGCTGAAGAATGAGGCAAACTTAATAAATTAAGAACAAAATTTGCTAGAGACAAAAACAGTGGATCTACGTGAACACAGTAGGTCTGGCAACGCTGATCGTTCCCTCGAAAGGTTATCCTGTAACTGTCGCGCGATACTTCTCAAGCTTGCGAAATGCACCAAGCGTAACATTTATGCATCTGTCGTCCTACTCGACCTTGGGGTCGCATCAGTGATCGCTTGTCTCTTGACGCGCCTACCCAAATGGTACCTTAAAGGTGTTTCATTTTTCATAGCGACAGCGGGTTCCGACGTGAGAAGTCTGATACCATCAGGATTGCCCTGCTGAGCTCTCCAAGCTGCATTTGACTGGTCACGCGGCGTCCGTGTAAAAATCCCCCTTCTACTACCTTTTTTTTTGCCGGGACTCTTCCATAAGATTCCTACTTTGGGATTTCGTTTGAATCTGAGGAGAGCGTTTTATTCTTCCGTGCTCTGTCTATCCTCTTTCTCCTTTTGTAAGAAATTTGAAAAGGTATTCTGATATAATATCCCAGTTGTGTCTGCTCGATATCATCACGGCCACTAAATTTTAAAGTTGGAGTCGTGACAGTGTCAAACGATTTGTTTAATGTCATGTACCATCGCTATAGTAATAAATATTATCGGCTGGTAAAGTGTTTGTTTATTTTCTAAAATCGCCATGGTAATGCTTGACTATATTGAAGGTTGGCTATAATAGCTATTTGTGTATTAAGAGCGGAAAGTGCTATTTTGCCGCTTAAGACAAAAAGTTGCCGCGCGACGTGAAGTGGAGTGCGGCATTTTTTCGTAAACGGCAAATAGCTTTCCGCACGAGTTACACACAAGATTTTTTCTACGATCACACGATATTAAAAGTATATAGATTAAATTCAAATCTTACTACGTTAATTTGATAGAGACGGCTAACTTGACTAGCAAACGAAAAGTATGTTGTGTATATTGTGTTGCCTGCTTACTCTAGGATTAATTTTATGATACGCATAAAAATATTTGTTAGTAAGTACATCTTAAAAATAACTTACAAGATCATCGGTTAGAATAATCAAATCGTAAATTAATAGCTTTACACTGTTTTAAGTTATATTTAATTTTACAAACAAATAAATAAAATTAAAAAAAAAATAATATTAACTGGTGAGGATTGAACTCACGACCATCAGGTTTAAAGACAAATGCGCTAGGCTCTACACTAACAAGACATGTTAAATAGGGTAATGTATTTGTAATATTTTAATTATCATTTAAATATTAAAAAAAATGAGGTTAAGTATTAAATGTTCAACTAAAAGATTTAGATTAGTCTGTATATAGGCGTGCCCAAAAAGTAACTTTCCGCTTATATGCGACAATAATGTCAAACTATGACAATTCATGGAAAACGTCAACTTTCCAGTTAGATTTAAATGTGCAAAAGCCTACTTTGGATAGTGATCGTAGAAAAAAGATACAATTACTCTAATAAAATTAAAAATTAAATATCTATTATCCTGCCTTCTTTCTCCCCTCCTTTTTGTCGTTTTAGACATATAATTTGGATTATTTTTATATTTCGTCTTTTTCATTCTTTTCATTTCATAAATTCTAAAAATAAATATTCTTTAATTTTTCTTTTCAGAACAGCGTCCTCTCTGCAGCGCCGTACTTGGCTTCATTTATATTGAGTTTTGTATTTGGGGCTATTTCAGATTTTATAATTAACCACGAATATGTAACCAGAGAAAATGCAAGGAAACTATTCAATACAATTGGTAAGATATATTTTTTATATCAAATAATTTTATGTGTAGAAGTATCGATAACTACTTTCTAAAATTTAAAAGCAAGAAAAACCAAATATTTTTATCTATATTTTTCTTAGAACAGAAAATTACATAATTAAAAACTAATTTAAAAAAATGATATGTTTGTCGGTGTTTATTTTTAAATATTTCTAGTCCAGGATTATTTTTATGATAAATTTATCCATTGTGAGTTTTTAAATTGTCAACCTGTAAATAATAAAAATTTAAAATTTAACATGTTTTGGGAATGGCTTTGATGATGTGTTTGTTATCGAAGGTGCTCATATTTACTTTGTTTAAAATATTCATTTAGCACACCTTTCTTATATTCTAAAGCCCGTATTTATAAACAAATCTCAGGGGACCTATGGAAGTACTCATTTCTCTCAAGATTTTCACGAGAAATGTCATATGTCAACGCGGAAACAGCATTTTTAAAGCCAGTAAGAACTCACAGACTCCCTCGGTTTATTTCGAGAAAATTAAAATTCTTCTACTAATTTTAATCGTCACTGGCTTTAGAACACTATTTCCACGTTGACATATGACATTTTTCGTGAAACTCTAGAGAAAATTCATTTCTCTCTAGAAGGGGCTATTTTCAAAGTATGGGAGCACTCATTTTTCTCCTCTTTAGAAATGTCATTTGTCAATTGTAGAAAGAGAAATGTCGTCAATAGTGAATTTTATCTGTGCTCATTGTTAAATTAGAAATTTATTGGTTTAATTTCAAGTTATAATAGTGTTTTTGATATCCAGTGAAAGGATAAAAAATAACGCATCAAATGTGATAATGGATTGCCTTAGATCACAATTATTCTTTATGAAAGAGCTAAAACTAAATTAATTTAACAGTAATTATAGAAATATATTATAGTTATCTTATCTTAGTGTTTTTTTTTCTTTTTTGTTTTTGCTTTGCTGGAATATTGATATTGATATTTTAGTTAAATCTAGCTGTGGCTACTTTACCACGCAGCAGTTATTTAATATTACGAGCAGCGATTCATTTGTTTAATTTTATGTCTAAAATCAAACAAAAAATTACCCAGTCCTCTGTTTTCATCCCATGTTCCTATACCGTGTTCCTCCTTGTTTGTATTTTTAAAGTCGTCCTGATAGACCCCAGGACGTGAAAAATTGTGTTCCCTGTTTGTGTGTGGGTAATAAAAAATAAAAATGTTAACAATATTTTTTTTCTTTTTAATTATTTGCTCGTATTTTCATTTGACGATATAATGGACCGATCCTTTAAATGCTGTAAAAATAAGGAATTTTCGAATTACTGTTGTATGTCATGTGCAGGTATTTTCCATCCTAGTTATTTAGATCGGTCTTAAGAAGTTGTTAAATTAGGTGGTTATAGAATTTATTGTTCAAAAAAATGTCAACTACAAGTTTCAAATAATGAAGAACGTGAAAAGGGCTATATAAAAGAAATTGACAATCTACACAATAAAATTGACGAGGAAGAAAATTATATTCAACGGTTGAAGAGAGGCACACAAGAGTTTATTAACGACGTTTCTAAAGTAGAGGACAGTTTTAATATTAATATTAATACTAAACAACAAGAGCAACGACAATATATTAAGGAATTAGAAAAAGAATTGCAATCTCTTCAGACACTAAACAAGGACTTAGAGACTAGAGTTAAATTAGGTAATGATTTGAATATTCAGTTAGAAGCCAAGGTAAATGACCTAACCGAAATACATAAGGACATAAAAAACTCAATTTCTGTTCTTGAGCAAGAAAATTCATCGCTGTTTCAAGAACTAAAAGCGCTGACAAGTCTGGTGGACAATATTCAAAGAGATAACAACTCAACTACACCGGCTACATCGCAATATTTACTTCGAGATAAACCTTCCTCATCAGCTCAAAAACCCTAACTTTTAATCTTGGGTGAAGAAAATGCAAGAGGTCTTATTCAAGTAGTTAAACACATTATCATCAGCCGCTACGATAATAACTGTCAATGGTCAGCAAAATCTTCATTTGAGACCCGTATAAAAATGTGCCTTAGGTACATTTCAAATTTTAATGACCAAGATATCGTTATCCTATTCACCGGCGATGACAATCCTCGAAAAGGTAAACCCATAGCTATGGAGTCATTTGAATCCTTACTTCAGGAAAGTTGCAGAACCAATTTGTTTATTTGAGGACCTCCAAAAAGATTTAATCGCAATATTCTTAACAGATTCATCCAACAATTTGACCTTAAAATTCAATATATGCTTCGTAATTTTGAATTCTGTCATTTTATACCTTCGAAAGTTTTTTCATATGATGGTCAAATGTCCAGTTACCAGAAGCGAGAACTCATAAAACTAATTATTTTTAATTTAAAGAATCTTCAAAATAAAAATATTCTTCCTGTTTGCTACCTGGTGTAAAAATAACGCTTTTTCTCTAAATATTTCTAAGTGCACAACCATGCATTTTACAAGATCCCACAATCCTACTCTTAAATTGTTACAGTATTGACAGCGTCAACCTAGATAGATCTTCGACAGTTATTGATCTGGGCATTATTTTTGATACCACAATATCTTTTAACAACCATAGTATGCAAAGCCCTCAGAATGCTTGGCTTCATCAAAAGACATACTAGGTACGTGAATGACGCAAATGCAATCATGACACTTAACAATGGCCTGGTGAGAAGTGTCCTCGAATACTGTTCTGTTATTTGGCAACCTACTTACACCTGTCATATCAATAGAATTGAAAGGGTGCAACGTAAATTCGTAAAATACCTGCTCTTTAAACACCGATTTCATAACCATAATACATGTTATCAAATAATAATGCTTTGCGGCATGCAGAGCCTGAAATGCAGAAGAAAACAGGCTTTACTCCTATTCCTGACTAAATTATTAGGTGGTTCCATCAAGTGCGGGTCACTGCTTAAGAGAGTTCAACTATTGGTTCCTGTCCGACGGACTCGGCACACATGACTTTTGAATGTAAAAAGACACAGAACCAATTACAGACAAAGTGCATTTATTGAACGCTTATGCAAGAACTATAACAAATTTTACTCAGACTGTAATATATTTAATTGTAATATTTTGGCGCTGAAAAGGAACTTGCAACTCCTGAATGTCTAAGTTTTACTCGTGTCGTCCCGCGGTGTTGTGTTATTCTTCCTTTTTTTTAAATATTTTATATATATTTTTTAATTTATTTCATATTGTTTTAATTGTACAGTTGTTTGTGTTAGGTTAGATATACTGTACTATTTGGAGTTTTACATTCTGTAAGTGCTACATAAATAAATAAACGCTGTTTTTAAAGGCCTCAAGGATTAAAATTCCTAGGAGAATTTTAATTATGTCTAAATAAAACGAGAGAAACGGTCAATGAGTTCACATTGGCCCTAAGAGTTCTTAAAATACTGTTTTACGTTGACGTATGACATTTCTCTTGAGAGAAATGAATTCTCTCGAGTTTGAAAATAGCCTCCCTGGTAAGTCCCACTTAGCTGAGTCGTCGTTGAATGAAAATCGAAGTTTGGTTATATCGCGTGAATTTAGTGATGGGTAGTAACAAATCTGTAAATATACATAAGTTACGGATTTGCTACTGTCCATCTCTAAATTCCTGTCTAACACTGGAACCACCTGGAACTCTAGTGTTAGATTCATAATAATTATTATTAATTTTTGTAGAATTATTTCTTAAAAAAAGATGACAATTCATTTATTAAACTATGAATGTTCACAGGGCCGCCGAGAGCCAGGTCGGGCCCCGGGATAATTTTCCAGGTCGGGCCCCGTGACAATTTTATAAAAAATTAGGCCCTTTTTAATATTACATTTCTAAAAAAAAGGTCCTTCTCCTCCTCTTTATTGAATCCCTAAAAAAAGGTCTTCAAGCAAAAACTTTCCCCCTCTTGTGCCGAACTTCTGAAGAAGTAAAAACGTCCTTGCCAAAGTTGCCGGGCCCCCCTTATGCCGCTGCCGGGCCCCCACTTGAGCCCGGGCCCTGGGATTTAGTCCCGGCTACCATCCCTTTCTTGTCGGCCCTGAATGTTCATAGCTGCTATCGGTTGTCCGTTAGAGTTTTAATGTTATTTGTTTATGTTACATATTGAAATTTCTAACACTAGAGAAGTTATAACCGAACTTCGATTTTCGTTCAAGGCCTAAGAGCTAACGATCGTACCTCCAGCTGAAATTTTCTGAAGCGGTTGAATTGTTAGGATTTAGTTTAGAACCCCTACAAACGGCACGTCAGACAACTCAAAGTTGTAAAAAATATCGGTTAAAAAATGATAGTCCATTAAGTACTTCAGTAAGTTTAAACATTTAATGAGCTTTTTGTTACTCATTGGTACACCGAGTGAGCTATACAATTTATTATACAGAATGGTCTCATTCATATTCTTAACATATTTCTACAATTTACTTACACATTTTTAATCTTTTAATTACATTTTATCTTTTATAGGCACCGTAGTACCATCAATTGCACTAGTAACCTTAGGATTTTTAGATGAGAATCAACTATCTTTATCAGTTACTATGTTAGTAATTGCAGTAGGAGTGAATGCTGCTTGTTTCGCAGGATTCCAAATAAATCCTGTCGATTTATCACCAAAATTTTCTGGAGTTCTTATGGGTATAGGAAATGGTTCATCTAATACTTTTTCAATTATAGCACCGCTATTGGTTCAATTTGTTGTTGCAGATGATGAGGTAAGTTGTATGATATTTTGAACAATTGTTTTTTGTCATTACCTTTCAATCAGCTTCCTGTTGTGTTTAAACAATTTAAATTAGAACTAACAAATTCACGCTCCTTCACCCATCCGCTATTTTTTCAAAGACATCAAGTTGTACAAAAGAATTCTAAGCACCCTTGAAATAAATGAAATCTGATTATAGAATTATTATCGATACTTTTTTAATATTTTAGACAAATAAAAAACTATGGAGGATTATCTTCATCACTGCAGCTTGCATTTACACTGCCTCGGATATTTTTTACGTCATCTTTGCATCAGGAAAAGTGCAGTACTGGAACGATTTGGAGCAGGTAGCCAAAACTGATAAGAAAAAAGAAAAATTACATGAAGAAGCGTTGAATTCAAAATAAATTAATATTTAATAAGTAATTGAAATCTGTGATATGCAACTTATGTAACTCATAAGTATTAAGTAATTGTAGGTTTCTGTGTTAAAATTTTTTCTATATTCAATTTTTTGGATCGAAGACAACTGAAAGTCAAAATACATATTATTTATATCTCGAAACAGTTTATTTAAAAGTATTTTTCTACAAGCGTGCGAGAAGATGATCTTCTCGCACGCAACTTAAACTGTATGTTGCACCTAATGTCATTATACAGGTTAATTCTCTATTTTAGAAATAAATGCGCTTGTAGAAAAAATGTTGATCGTAACACGTGCTAGAAGCACTTTTACGTACTCACCTGCTTACCCGTAAAAGTGCATCTTCTAGCACTTGTTGCGATAACTACTATTTTGTATACACTCAAACATGTAAAAATTGTTTTATAACCTGTGAATTTAATGTACAAACTATATTTAAAAGCATAGTTTATTAAATTTGAGCTAACAGCACTTCAATAAAAAATAAAAATTCATATTTTTTTAATAAAATTTAATTCACTTTGCAGTTCGCAAAAATGAAAAGAAAAGGCTGAGTCACCGGCTGATATGAATACTAAAGGACCTGATCCCACATTCTATTCTTCGGTCCTCTTTGTGAACGATGTTTTTATTAACATCTGCAATAACACAAATTTTTATTTTTTCTACACACAAATTTATTGATTTTTCCAACTATATGTTGTCTTTGTATCTCCTATCGTTTGACTCTAATGTGGGTACATACCTTATAACATTTATTAAACTTGAATTTTTAAACTTTATACATATATGCCAAATGATGACCAGGATCAAGATTGCCGAAAAGAGTTTGTTTTAATGTTATAATTTTATGTAGTATCGTTTTTGAGTGTTTCTTTTATTCGCGATTCTAACTGAGTGATACGCCCTCTGGAGGAAATTTGTAGAAGGTGCCTATAAGTAGGATATCGTTCAGTGTTGCCAGAAGTAGCAAAATTACGTTACGTCGTCGGATTTTAGTTCTTAAAGAAGTGGATAAGACCTTTTATTTAAGAATAAAAATTTGTGTCTAGGAATATGTAATCATACTATATATTTAAGGATTTTTTTATAAAACCGATTTATTATATTGATTTTTTTAAATTTAAGTTCATTTATTAATTTTGTTTTAAAATTAGTTCATCATTTGGCAACATTGGCGTTCGTGTTCATTGTTTACATTTTAATTTGTATCAATTACAATTCGAGTTTTTTAGCTTTAAATTTGTTTATTTCTTATAGTATAGTAAGTAGTATTTATATTAAAAATGAAATCTGTGAAAAAGCCCCCAGCAAATTGCAATTTATATGGTGTTAATGCCAAAATCAAAACTGAAGTATTCATTATTTTCCAAGCGCAAGTCGTAAAATTTTATTTTTTATCATAAATGGAGAGGTATCTACAAATTCACAATAATGAAATTTTGCAAAACATTGTTTAGAATCAAACTATAATCTGATTTGTGACGGTTTTATTACCATTTACATGTATAAAAAGTACTACACAATTCACTTTATAATATAAGAATAGTAAGATTTTTAAATAAGTTCATTAATAATAAACGTTTGGTACCTGAAATGTCCTTTAAACCACATAATAAAAGATATCCTGGGTTTAGTAAATACATATTTCTGGATGTTCTTGTTGCAATCAATAGGTGAATATTTCCAACAAATTAAGTGATACACATGATAAATATTATATTTATGACGAAAGCACGAAAACTAAACCTAAATTAACACTAAATAAAACTAAAAAACACTATTACAATGAGAATATTATCTAAAAACAGTTAAAAAATCACAAATATTAAATCTGCCCAAAACAAACACAAGTACCTAAATAAACAAACATCCTACTTATAAGTGACAAATGACAGGCGCGCGAAAATTAATTTGAATCGCGAATAGCATAACTTTAGTTTATAAAGACTAATGATAAGGAGACGAATTGGCAATGGTCAAATTTCAAATTTCCGTATATCTTTTTATAAAATTCGCGAAATTGACTGTAGTTGGCATGTCGAATAACAGCGGTGTCAATTTTCTATGTAAGTCAATGTAAAATGAAGTGGTTTTTTAAAAAAATGGTGAAAAGAATCAAAATAATGTGAAAAAAGTACCTGAGTACAAGTAACATAAGTGATAAAAAACATCAAAGCAAGATTTACGTCGTTCCACATTGTAAAACAGGATACAAATCAAATGTAAAACTAAAGAAAACACAAGGAGAACTCAAATCAATGTCTTTTTAAAGCTTCTAATGTAAGTAAAATAATATATTTATGTCTAAATATAATATTTATTGTAAACTATTCACAATATGTATCTTACGTAGTGTAGTTTATTTTATTACAAGTTAATATAATATAAAATTTTACAGTCATAGATCCTGACTTTACAAACAACAATAATTATACATTATATTTAAGTTACTAGAAAAGAAAATTTATTTTTTATAGAGTTTTATTGTTAGATAAAGAGTTGCTACTGTTATTTTGTTGTTGTTGTTGTTGTTGTTGTTGTTGTTGTTGTTGTTGTTGTTGTTGTTGTTGTTATTGTTGAACCCCAATTGTATCATTGTAAATGTTTTTTATAGGATACTAAACGCTTAGAACAGTGGCAGCATATATATTGTTCCTAGTGCCGATAAAGCACTTTCTAGAGATGATGCTGTTCTATAATTTTTAGAAGATATCAAATATTATGAGACTATTTTTACTGATGGTACTGTTAGCAAAATAAAAAGTGGAAAGCTGAAATTAAAGGATGAGGGAATACCATGTACATTCCCAAATCTCCCTTTATACTTGTATTACAACAATACAAAAATCTGTTAACTGTGTTTTATTTTGCTCTTAAAACTATACATTGGTTCAACTCAAAAAAAAATTGTCACAAAATTGTACTTATCAAATTTCAGCATTTAACAAATCTTTTTGAATTTGGTCATACCTACCTAATTTGTATTTTATATGTATAGATAAATTAAATAATTTATCAATTAAAACATGCAAGACTTATTTAGAAATAAATACAACAGTATATTCTGTGCTTTATTTAGCCATAAATAAGTTCATTTTTATTATTTTGACAAAATTATATATAATTCCCATAAGAAGCCATGTATTGTAAACACTGTAAGCAGTGCCAGCACCAAAGATATCGGATAAATAGATACGCCTTGTATACATTACACTTGTCCGCAACTTTTTTTTGACAGTACGCTCTTCCTATGTTGTCAGATCTCTTTCATCAAATATCAAACATTAAATTTTTATTAAAAAAATTACTATTACCTTTAATACAATCTAATAAAAAAAGGAAATAAAGAATTGAAAGCATCAATATGAGTTTTTTATTAATTGCAATCACTTAAGACTTTTATTTAGCTATTTTTACATGTGTATCATATGTGAATATTTAACATTCTGGTATATATCTCTTAAGTTTGGCAACCTAAGACATTTTGCTGATGTTATCAAAGTGACAGATCAAATTTTATTGTGATTTTTGTGTTTTTTTGTAGTTTTCAAGAATAATTTAAACCTTGAACTTTTTAATAAGGACTTCTACGATGGGGAGGAAATGTATAGCGTGCGGAAATACGCAGAATAAGAATGTTATTCGATCATTTCATAAGTAAGATTATGTTAGCATAGACGTAGGCATATACGGGGAATAAGGCTTAATTTATTTAACAGTGTAAAAGTATTTAGCACTAGCATTGTTTATTTAAATAATAATGTTCTATATTTTCTGATCAGGTTTCCTAGAGAAATTATTCAACGTACAATTTGGCTGCAAAATCTATGCTTTGTGGAGGAAGACATTATGAAAATGAAAGAAGCCTTAATATGTTCTGACCATTTTTGCATGGCAGACATTTATGAAAATTTAAGTGGTAGACACATCTTAAAATATAATGCCATACCTATGAAGTAAGTACAGTGCGCAAATATGGGGTAATTTTGTTGATTTCTCCTTAAATTTGTGTGTTTTTTAATGGACTGTATGAATAGATTTTACTTGTTTTGGGTATTCAAACTTCGACACCACTTTTAATAGAGTTTATTACAATATTATTCGGTATCCAACAAAAGAACAAGTTGTTGATACGAAACACAGGCACAAACAATGCTAGAATACGTCTAGTATGAGGCTACTTGCTTTTCTAACTGTTTTACTTAATAACACCCCGAGATAATAAGTTTTAATTCACTTTTTCCGAGAAATAAGTGCCGGCCGGCCAATGCCCACAAAGTCCGAGAAAACTCACACACCACAAGTACATCCTTCTTGTCTTGAGTCAAGATTGCTTCTGTTTTAAACTAAACAATCTCCGAGATTCAAGGTTGCCAACTTTTAAAATTTTATTTACCGTACCGCTCAATTCATATTACCGTACATGGCCTCCCACTACCGTACACTTTTATTTTGTACAAAATCTATATTGTGTTCAATATTTTTGTTGGGCTTCTAAAAAACAAAAAAAGATCCTCATCATATTTTAATCAATCTCTAGTCCTTCTACCTAGCTTCAAAAAAGCTTATTTTTGTTCAAAAAACAGAAGAACAGGTCCTTTTAAAGAACATGTGCTGTAAAAAAAATTAAATGGCATTTTTACATTAGATTAGACAATGTCATTTTATTCATCATTTAGGACCGATTCCACCGTTATGTTAAACGAAGTTTAAAATGACATTTTTACATACAACGTCATTTAAATCTCCGTTTAACACAACGGTGGAATCGGTCCTTAGTAATTTAAACTTCGTTTAACACAACGGTGGAATCTAGGGTTGCCACCCTCTTCTACTAAAAAAAAGGTCGACTAATGTGTAACAAAAATGCCCTCGTCCTTCTACTGAGCTTCTAAAAAGCTTCTCAGCTTGTATCTTTTTGTACAAGCCAGGTCTCTTTCCCCTTTCAACGATATCGAAGAATAAAACAGGACATGCGCCGTCAAAAAGGACATTTTAAGCTTTGAAAAGTACCAAGGACATTTTGCTTGAAAAAAAGACTGTCCTTTTCAAAAAAGGACAGATGGCAACCTTAGTGGAATTAGTCCTTACACAACTCAAAGTCTTTGCTAGTTCTGTTCAAAATACCGTACGTTTACCGTACGTTTTATGTAAATACCGTACTTTTATGTACGGTAATTACCGTACGATTGGCAACCCTGCCGAGATTGCACAGTTTATAAGAGGAGGTAAAAAATAAGAGGGAATTGCCAGGGTTGGTTGGAGTTACGTCATGAACTACCAATAGTACCAATCAAACATAAATGATGTTGGTTGCATAATGTTATATGCGGTTTAGCAGTTAATTATATAATAAGGGGCGAGAGGAACAAATATATTTAAATTCGGTGTCTAGCGGCGTAGGGGAAAGAGGAGTAAAATAATTGATGTATTCTGGCGGAGAATAATGTTAAGTTATTTTCCAACATACAGTATTTATTATGGGTATTTTTATAATATGTAAACTCTAAAATTATACAGAAATTATCACATTTTACAGAATTTTGGGAGAGGTAGTTGAAGAGGCGAAAAATGAAGAAGAAAAAAAGACTGCATCACCAGTAAGGTAACTTAATCATTTATATTGAGAAAAGCATACAATTCTATATAATTTTTTTTTAGTTTTTTAAAGAACAATGAAGATCCGTGCACATCTAGTACTCCTACAGGTCCTAGTGTGTCTGGATCACCACTTCCTAAAAGGTAATATAAATTTTTGGATTCTTCTTTATGTAAATAACTTATTTAAGAAAATTATCATTGCTTAAGTCAATACTAAATTAAATATAAAATATTTTAGATATTCCAATTATTATATACTTAATTCTTTTTGTAGGAGAAAATTAATTAAGCCC